TCCTTCGTGAATGACATTGGATGCTTACATGGCTAAATCTGTGGTGGCGGTGACATTCCTTGTCAAATGTTCATTGACTGCTCAAAAGATTCCTCGACAGACATGGGGCGATCTGAAATCAACTCGCTTGCATCGCAAACATTTTAATGACACAACCTTTTGTCCCCGACGGTTGCTCCGTTGGCGAGTTTGGCGTCTTGTTATCGATCATGATATGAACGATAACGCGATTTGGGTGCAGACGGCCATTAACAGCCAATACTGGACAACAGATCTGGGGAGCGTACGGTATGAGACACCCTAATCAGTAATAGGGCCCACCTATTAGCTTGATTTGGGGCTCGAATAGAGGGAGCGGAGGATGGCCAGCACGAGGAGGGAGGGAGGGAGGGGCAGAGGGGTGGGAGGAGACCCGAGTCGTGGCGCGGTTGACGACCCGGGTCCAGGGGAGGAGACCGGGCTTCGGCCGAGGCGAGATAAGACACGCTCAGTACACAGGCCGCAAAACAGGTCGGGCAGTCCAAGGCGCGCGCTCAGAGGCGGCGGACAGTGCCGAAGGGTGGAAACGAAGCGACAGGCTGTGGAAAACGATCCCCTCCCACCCTCCCCAATAACAACTTTCAATCCAAAAATACCGTCCTATAGACACATTCGTCGTCGGCCTAAGTCTTGTTATCGATCATGATATGAACGATAACGCGATTTGGGTGCAGACGGCCATTAACAGCTCCCCTCCCCCTCGTGAGCTGGCGGTGGTTTTACACGCCGCGACGCCCGGCGGCGGTGTCACGACGTGACGTAACGGCCCTATTACTCCTGACGGCCGAGTGTTGGCCGCCCGACCGGTGGGCGCGCACAGCGGAATGGGTGGGGGAGCCCCGTCCGCGGAAGTACAGCTGGCACTCCCCGGCGGCCATCACAGCGACAATGCTTTGATGTGTGCATTTGTCCTGGTGACGTCACCCGGCACCCAACGAATAGCGTCATTGGCTCCATCTAAGTCAGGTGAGGCGCCGCGTCGATATGGTTCAGGCATACCTGACGAACAGCGAATTTAACTGACAACATGATTCATGCATGTTGAATCGCCGCATCGGTACGGTTCAGGCGTACCGGGCGCATAGATGAGTGGGCAGTAATCGCCACGCCATGTGTGGATCGCCCATGATCGTAAATACATACATACATACATACCCACATGGTTCAGGCATGTGTGACTTGGCACTGCGTCGATATGGTTCAGGCATATCTGACGAACAGCGACTTTTACTCTGTCAACATGAATCAGGCATGTTGCATTGCCGCACCGATACGGTGCAGGCGTACCCGGCGCATAAATGAGCCCACATGGTTCAGGCATGTGTGGCTTGGAGCTGCGTCGATATGGTTCAGGCATACCCGACGAACAGCGAGTTTTACTGTGTCAACATGATTCAAGCATGTGGAATTGCCGCACCGATACGGTGCCGGCGTACCCGGCGCATAGATGAGCCCACATGGTTCAGGCATGTGTGGCTTGGCGCTGCGTCGATATTGTTCAGGCATATCTGACGAACAGCGAGTTTTACTGTCTCAACATGATTCATGCATGTTGCATTGCCGCACCGATACGGTGCAGGCGTACCCGGCGCATAGATGAGCCCACATGGTTCAGGCATGTGTGGCTTGGCGCTGCATCGATATGGTTCAGGCATATCTGACGAACAGCGAGTTTTACAGTGTCAACATGATTCATGCATGTTGAATTGCCGCACCGATACGGTGCAGGCGTACCCGGCGCATAAATGAGCCCACATGGTTCAGGCATGTGTGGCTTGGCGCTGCTTCGATACGGTTCAGGCATATCTGACGAACAGCGAGTTTTACTGTGTCAACATGATTCATGCATGTTGCATTGCCGCACCGATACGGTGCAGTCGTACCCGGCGCATGAATGAGCCCACATGGTTCAGGCATGTGTGGCTTGGCGCTGCGTCGATATGGTTCAGGCATATCTGACGAACAGCGAGTTTTAATGTGTCAACATGATTCATGCATGTTGCATTGCCGCACCGATACGGTGCAGGCGTACCCGGTGCATAATGAGCCCACATGGTTCAGGCATGTGTGGCTTGGCGCTGCATCGGTATGGTTCAGGTATATCTGACGAACAGCGAGTTTTACAGTGTCAACATGATTCATGCATGTTGAATTGCCGCACCGATACGGTGCAGGCGTACCCGGCGCATAAATGAGCCCACATGGTTCAGGCATGTGTGGCTTGGCGCTGCGTCGATATGGTTCAGGCATATCTGACGAACAGCGAGTTTTACTGTGTCAACATGATTCATGCATGTTGCATTGCCGCACCGATACGGTGCAGTCGTACCCGGCGCATAAATGAACCCACATGGTTCAGGCATGTGTGACTTGGCGCTGCGTCGATACGGTTCAGGCATATCTGACGAACAGCGACTTTTACTCTGTCAACATGATTCATGCATGTTGCATTGCCGCACCGATACGGTGCAGGCGTAACCGGCGCATAAATGAGCCCACATGGTTCAGGCATGTGTGGCTTGGCGCTGCATCGATATGGTTCAGGCATATCTGACGAACAGCGAGTTATACTGTGTCAACATGATTCATGCATGTTGCATTGCCGCACCGATACGGTGCAGTCGTACCCGACGCATAAATGAACCCACATGGTTCAGGCATGTGTGACTTGGCGCTGCGTCGATACGGTTCAGGCATATCTGACGAACAGCGACTTTTACTCTGTCAACATGAATCAGGCATGATGCATTGCCGCACCGATACGGTGCAGGCGGAACCGGCGCATAAATGAGCCCACATGGTTCAGGCATGTGTGACTTGGCGCTGCGTCGATATGGTTCAGGCATACCTGACGAACAGCGAGATTTACTGTGTCAACATGATTCATGCATGTTGAATTGCCGCACCGATACGGTGCAGTCGTACCCGGCGCATAAATGAGCCCACATGGTTCAGGCATGTGTGGCTTGAAGCGGCGTCGATATGGTTCAGGCATATCTGACGAACAGCGAGTTTTACTCTGTCAACATGAATCAGGCATGTTGCATTGCCGCACCGATACGGTGCAAGCGTACCCGGCGCATAAATGAGCCCACATAGTTCAGGCATGTGTGGCTTGGCGCTGCGTCGATATGGTTCAGGCATATCTGACGTACAGCGAGTTTTACTGCGATTTGGGTCAGACCGGTCGCCAAATGAGCCCGTGTACCTGACGAACAGTGAATTTAACTGGGTCTACATGGTTCATGCATGTTGATTGTTGCTGCTCTGCACCGGTATGGGTCAGGCATACCAGGCGCATTAATGGGCCCACACGAATCAGCCATGTGTATAAGCAGCGTCGGTACGGTTCTGTCGTACCTGACGAACAGCAAATTTAACTGGGTCAACATGGTTCAGACATGTTGGTTCTCCGCTCTGTGTTACTGTGGTCTGTGACATAGACGACGAGCCGGTATATACATTCATACCCAGATGGAGCGGGTGGTATTGTATCAGTTGTTCACTATCAATGACTCTGGACACACACATCTGCCATGTGGTCTCTGCACAACGGTCTATCCCACTGGTATTGATTCGTTCACCGCATCAGCATAATCCATTCGCTTGACTTTTCGGCGAGTCAGCCATGCAGGCAGCAGGCTCCTTATATGACTAGTATCGCTAGCACGCTAGCCTGACTTACCGGCCATGTCCGTCTCCCTTGGTCCCCCTCTGCTGAGCACCAGGTACTCTGTCGCTCCACAAACCTGTCTCCCGGCCTTGTCTACTTTTCCTGCTCGCTCGTTTTACAGCGCTTAGCTCGACGCTCGATTCCCACTCTCTCGCTTTGTCCGTCACCTCTGCGACCGCACGATCGTTTTCCACAGCCTGTCGCTTCGTTTCCACCCTTCGGCACTGTCCGCCGCCTCTGAGCGCGCGCCTTGGACTGCCCGACCTGTTTTGCGGCCTGTGTACTGAGCGTGTCTTATCTCGCCTCGGCCGAAGCCCGGTCTCCTCCCCTGGACCCGGGTCGTCAACCGCGCCACGACTCGGGTCTCCTCCCACCCCTCTGCCCCTCCCTCCCTCCCTCCTCGTGCTGGCCATCCTCCGCTCCCTCTATTCGAGCCCCAAATCAAGCTATTGACATTCCCTTCATAGTTTCCTCAAGATGTCCCGCTGTCCCTCGAAGCAAACTCCAGCTTCTTACAGCGACAGGTGGTGAAGCCCCGAAAGTGGTCCCTGTGTGGAACAATGCGGGGCGTGGCTGCCACTCTGTCTGACATGGCCCGCTGCCCAAACGGGGGCAGCGAACACAGCCACAGAGCGGAGCGTTGGCGGACCTGTTGGGAGGTCTGGTTTCACTGGCGATGACTTGCGGACCTCGCTTACTGAGGGAAGGACACGGGGAGGGTCCCACAAGACACTGATGGGGACAGGTGAAATGAAATGGGCGGGGCGGTGGAACACTGGCAGCACACCTGTGCTGCAAGTGGTGGCTGTATTGGTGGGCTGGGACCTGGTATATCGGTTGGATGTAGTATTTGGGAAAGTTTTCCTGTGATATGTTGTCAAATGGAAGCTTGATTGTTTGGTAGACATATTGGGAGCCGTCTTTTGTTGTCTTAGTGAGTGGAATTAAGCCCTCACATATTTTGCTGTCATTTCCGCCTACTTGTAAGGCGTTGTAATGAATTTCTGATTGAAACTGTAATCAGAGGCCTCGTAAATAATGCATTGTTCGCTTACTGTTATGGACTTGGCTTTCATTCTATTGTCTGTTTTTCTTGTTCTGTATGGCAACATGTGGTCTGGTGCGGGATGTGTTAATTGTTTGGCCTCGTTTAAGGTCAGCAGAGACTTCTTTATATCCCATACCTGACTTCCACACCGCTGGGTGATCTCTACGGCCCCTATTTGACCTGTGTCGCTCTGTGACCCTTATGACCTCTGTTTGACCCCTGTGTGACCTCTGTTCGCAGACTCTGTGGAGGGCAGCATGTACTCGGGCTCGAACCGCCTCTCCTCGGGGTCGTCGGGCCTCAGCCCCGGACCCCAGGCCGGCTACAACACGTTCTCGTTCCCCACGGCGCCGGTGAGTATGTAAAGGGAATAAGCTGTGATAGAAGGGTCGCGAGTTCGAAACCCTCCGTGTCCAGGTTTTTTATCGATTGAGAACAACCAGGCTCAAAATCCAGATTTACGATAAAAATATGTGAATTTTTTATCAAAAGACTTGTTTCTTTTGTTCAAGAAGTAGTTCATTTGTCGGCAGACGGAAGCTGAGAGATAGGACAAAAGCGGCGGCGTGTGCCTTGGTTTTCTTTTGACCTCCGGTTTTGGACATGACAGCTCAATGGAGTCCAGTCCTAGCGCCGGACCACAAAAGCCCAAAGACTGCGGACACTGCACAAAAGGTGGTACCGGAGCCCATTGGCGTCGAAAGACGAAATTCTTTCTGCGTTCTTCTCGTTCTGATATTACTTTTTGTGACGTGGGTGGGCCGCCCACTCGAGTCTGAATGTGTTTTGTTTTGCGCCTTTTTGAAGTGTGGTTATCTCAATATGGCTGCACCGTCAGCAGTAGGCTCCAGAAGTGGCTCCTGCGGTCGTCCGCCTCAAGGTCGCTTTTTGTGCGATAGGGGCACGCAGTGTCGACCTTCTTGCCCTTGTGTCTGAGGGCGCAGTGCTGACGGATGGAGTGGGTGCGGTCCCGGTCGCGGTGGGTCGCGGGGAGCGTCCGCTCAGATCCGGCCCCCGCCCGCTCCGGGTCCGCTGACCTTTGGCCGATCGACCCGCGCTCATTAATTCTAATTAACACCTGGACTTCGCCGATGATTAGAATGTACCCAACTTCGAATTGCTAATCGGTCTAGCGCGGACAACTTTTCACTTATAAAATGTGATAATACCTGGCTGAAGCAAAACTGCTGAGATTAGCCGTTTTGGGAGCGTATTCAGCCTTATCATATGCTGATGTTGGGGCTCGTCTTCTGCTAACAACACCCCGTATGCATACTTTGCGGCCACTATTGCGTCCGGGTCGCATATGGGCGACTATATCTGGCCCCGGTTACGACATGAAAAGCCCGCCCTGATTACGCTGGACCCCTGGGGACGACGCGTGGCATAGACCGCTCCCGATATACCCCAGATGACCCCCGAATGACCCGTGGTGTGTCTGGATGACCCCCGATGACTGGCGGTGACCTCATTGACCCCGGAAGCCGGCCGGTCGCGTTGTGAGGTCCCTTTAGCGCGTGCAGACCGGCCAGTCATCGCTGCTTATTTGTACTGTCCCTCTCCCTCACTGTCCTCTCTCTCTTCGGTGTCCTCGACGCTCGAGGAGCGCGGACAGCAGCCGGACATCAGTTGAATTTTACGTCCCTAGGTGTCGCCTCCGCTGCGTGGCGCGCAGCAGTTTTTCGAGTTGTTTGCTAGTGGACAGACCGGTTTGATGTCGTCCCGAGTCATTTTTCGTCATTGTTGTTGAGGCCCGTGGTGCTATCGCAGCACACTGACCTCGGCTGTAGCGATTTGTTTATATCGCGTCACCAGGCGGATAGGCGGTTTCTGGTCGTTTTTGTCGATATAACGTCCAGCCTCTGTCCTGTCGTGTGTCCGATCGGTGTGCCGCTCTTTGGAAAGAAGTGGCCGTTTGGAGGTGGGTTGACAGGAAAAAGGCGCTCTGCTGGCGGTTTGGTTATTTGAACTGAGTCTGGATAGGGCCGACTTGTCTCCGCGTGTGCGATGGAAAGTTCAACAAACCGTGAATCTGTGGCGTTGTGCGCTGTGGAAATGGAAACGCCCGCGAGAGTGCGTGTCTTGTTACCAGGGTTGATATCGTAGAAAAGATAGTCGCTCGAATGTTACCCTTCGGTTTCTGGTCGTTATGTATTTGTGTAAGTTATGTAAGCTTCTTATGTAAGCTGGATAAGCAAGGGTAACAGAAAACTTGCCACGCTATTAGAAAGTGCGCTGACCCTACCCACTACCCGCCCAGTCAGTCCTATGCCTGTTAATTAGTGTTATCTATTGACGACTTCCAGTGATATCCAACTCTATGACCTTTGTTGACCTCTGCGCTGACCTGTCGTGTCCCCAGGCGCCTCGGGCGGTGGCGTCGCCGGGCGGACCGGCCTGTTCACACTCCGGAAAGGAGTTTGTGCCTCACTTCCATAACCATCTGTACCAGCACCAACAGAGCGATGATCAGGGCATTGACGTCCAGGTAAGACGGTCTCTTAGTTATTTTTCAAAGCCCGGGAAGTGTGAGAAATTCTGCCAACGCTTTTCCATTGTCAGGTTTTGACACCTTCTGTACTTTTTCAAGTCATAAGCTTCAGCCAGTCATGAAGCCTTAGGCCACCGTATCTCGAAACTTACGTCCTGTTTGGTCTCGATGACCGACTTTGTATATGGGATGTTCTCATGCGTGCAGTTTACTTAGTAACTGAACGGCACCTGTTTAGGCTCATGCTCCTAAATTGGAGATATAAACGGACTGTTTAAATGTTCATTGATGATTATGATAGCTTGTACGCGATAGTTGATGACCTGCCGTTGGATACATTTGTTAACTTGTTCCAGGCTTCTGGTAAAAGCGTTTCTCAATCGTTGTCTGAAATGTCAGCTACCGTAGCGTTACATGACCACGATACCGTGGTGTTTGGATCGATCCTTAGGTTCCCCAACTAGTCGTTGAAGTCGAGGGAGGCCCCCTTCCTCTGTCCGTCCCCTGCTCTCCCCCTCTGTAGGGACGTCACTCTGTAAACAGCTCACAGGCGGCGTGGAGGGTGACCTGTCTAAATACAGTGTCCTCTGCGCGCGTACACAGTCCACTGCGTGCACCAAAACGACCACACACGGAGCGACACAAACGCATAACGTTCTGTGTCTCTCTGTTTGTTCACATAGTTTGTATTCTAGCCTTGTCGCGTAGGGTCGGCGTCGGGTCATAAGTGGTCATAAATGGAGGTCTATGGCCACACATGTGCGCGGCAGCAGGGACACGCCGGCCCGTATATCGGGCGGCCCGGCTGGACATTGGGAGACGGGCGGGCAGTGGAGAGCAGGGCGGGAGAGAGAGAGGACGGGTCGGTGTGCGCGTTGAGATGTAAGAAGGGTGAAGAAATACAGTCTACGATAGACGCAAAGTTTGAATGCCACAAGCTATTTCGGCATTTTTCTGACAAGTGGTGAGAAGATGCCGAGTGTCGAGGAGGAGACCAGTGACGCCGCGGGAAGAGCGGTGATGGAGGTGACTCCGGCGTTCGACGCCAGGACTATTCCGGAGTTCGACGGAACTGGAAACGTAGTGGAGTGGCTGGAGCAGGCTGCTCTCCTGTGCGAGCTGCGATCAGTGTCCTTGATGGCTGTGTTGCCGACTCGCCTGCGCGGCGGTGCTTTCGCGGTGTGGTCCCGAATGCCCGCAGCGACTCGTCATCAGCTGCCCAGCGTGAAGGCTAAGCTGCTGAGGGCCTTCGCCATGGACCCGTTCACCGCGCAGGCGGAAATGGCACGGCGTCGCCTTCATCCCGGAGAGACGGCGGATGTGTACTTAGCGGCGCTGCAGCAGCTCGCTGAGTTGATGGGAGGTCTGCCGGAGAGAGCTATTGCCATCACCTTCGTCAATGGGCTGCCGGAGGCTGCGCAAGCTGCGGTTCGGGACGGGCTCGGAGACGAGTTCACTCTCGAGTACGTCCTGGACCGAGCGAGAGCCGTACTGTCCAGGACAGCAGTCACGGCAGCGCCACCGGCGGCGGCAGCGGCGGCGGCGGGGGCGGCGGCGGCGGCGGCGGCGGCGGCGAGTGGGCCATCACGTGACATTTCAAGGTCAAGTCGCCGGCCGGCTCCGATCAGATGCTGGATATGTGGTCGCCCAGGTCATATCGCCCGGATGTGCCCAAACGGCTGCGGCGGGGGAGCTGCATCAGCGCCAGCACCTCCTCCGCCGTCCACCGAGCCGGCAGCAGAGCGCCGGTAATCCAGATGCTGCTCGACGGGCGACCGTGTCACGCGCTGGTGGACACGGGCTGCGAGGAGACCGTGGTGTTCGCGGGTTGTGTCGATAAATGGGATCGATGTGAGACAAACTTGACCGCGGTGAATGGGAGTGTCGTGCGATGCTGCGGGAGTGCAGAGGTGCTGCTGGAGGCACAAGGCCGGCGGGCGGTGGTCCGTGCTGTGGTAGTGGCGGAAAGGTTGTTGGGTGTTGACGTGCTGTTGGGCATGACCGGGTTAGAGGCGCTGGGTGGTGTGTTTGTTAGTGGTGGAGAGGTGCGTTTTGGTGGTAAAGTGGTGACGGGGGAGCGTTCGGGGTGCGCCGGTGTAAAGGCAGAATCGAGCGGTATGTCGGCAGCGGTGTCTCAGGGGCGTGGTCCAGTGGACAGACAAATCGAGACGGCTGATTTTGTGGCTAAGTTCAGCGACGGAAAGTGGACAGTTTGGTGGAAGTGGGCCGACGGAAAGGAGCCAAAACAACTCAAGAATACTGTGCCGCAATATCGCGTGCCGGCAGAGTCGCAGGAGCGGTTCGACGCAGAGCTACGGCTCTGGGTTGAGGAAGGGTGGCTGCAACCGTACAATGAGCAGGAACACGGGCCGGTGCGTGGCCTAATTCCGCTCATGGCGGTCACCCAGGAAGCCAAGGACAAGGTCAGGCCGGTGCTCGACTACCGTGAACTGAATGAGCACCTGGTGGCTCACACGGCTGAAGCTGATGTGTGCCGCGACCAGCTCCGCAAGTGGCGGCAACACGGCGACGATGTGGCCGTCATCGACCTGAAGAAGGCGTTTCTGCAGCTGCACGTGGCCCAGGAGCTGTGGCCGTTTCAGACGGTAATCGTGGAAGGCCAGTGACATTGTCTGACAAGGGTCGGATTTGGTCTCAGCGTTGCAAGCGGCATCATGCAAGCGGTAGTGCGGGAAGTTTTGGATCAAAGTCCAGAGATCGCAAAAGCAGTGCTCCCGTACGCTGACGACCTGCTCGTCAACGAGACGCTCATCTCTGCTGAGCGGGTGGCCGAACATTTTGCCGCATACGGGCTCTCGTGTAAGCCACCGGAACGGGTAGCGGATGAGGCCGGAGCCCGGATGCTGGGGCTCCGAGTGAGACGGCAGTCTGGCGGTGACGGCACACTGAGATGGTCTCGGGACGGCGAGACACCAGCTGAGCCACCCGGGGTGCTGACCAGGCGGTCAATCTTCGCCTGGGCGGGTCAGCTAACATCACACGTGCCCGTCGCCGGGTGGCTGCGGCCGGCCGCCGCCTGGCTGAAAAGGGCGGCGAACAAGGTCACCAAAGATTGGGACTCACCGATCACCGACGATGACCTGCGCAAACAAGTCAGTGATGTGGCCCGGCGGCTGGCAGAGTGTGACCCGGCACGAGGACAGTGGTGCGTCTCAGGAGACTCGGTGACGGTGTGGACCGATGCCAGCTCTATCGCCCGCGGCGTAGTGCTAAGTGACCCCACCACGGGTGAGGTTATCGAAGACGCCGCGTGGCTCCGATCTGACAGTGACTCAGACATGCACATAAACCTATCGGAGCTGGATGCCGCGCTGAACGGTATGAATATGGCGGTGGCGTGGGGATTCAAGCGTGTGATCCTCCGCACAGACTCTGTCACTGTTCAGCGCTGGCTGACCGACGCTCTGACAGGCCGTGCCCGACTGAGGACGAAGGCACAGTCGGAAATGCTGGTTCGGCGGCGGGTGGCCGTTTTCAAGCAGCTCTCCAGCGAGTACGACCTCGTCGTGACAGTGGAGCTCGTGCCATCGGCTGCCAACCGTGCAGACGAACTCACGAGAGTACCAAAAGAGTGGATCAGAACCGGAAGCGAGCAGGTGACAGGTGTGGTGGCGGCCGTCAGGACAGCTCGACCTGAGGACATAATGGCGGTGCATGAAAGTGTGGGACACCAGGGAGTGCGGCGGACGTGGTGGTATGCGCGCCGAGAGCTGGGAAAGAGCGTGACGAAGTCGGCCGTTCGTCAGATCGTTAGATCGTGCCAGGTGTGTGCGTCGATCGACCCAGCCCCGTCGCGCTGGAAGCATGGTGCCTTGGCGGTCGAGCGCAACTGGGAGCGGCTGGCAATGGACGTAACCCATTTCCGCGGAAAACACTATCTCACCGTGATTGACTGTGGGCCGTCGCGATACGCCATGTGGCGTGAGATCCGCCGCTCTGACGGGAGCGAGATCGTCAGACAACTCGAGGCTCTGTTTTTGGAGCGAGGAGCACCGGCCGAGCTTCTAATGGATAATGCGACCGAATTCAAGGGTCGCGAGCTGAAGGCGTTCGCGGTGCGGTGGGACGTCGAGCTGAGGTATCGCGCGGCCTATGAACCTGGTGGGAATGGCATCATCGAGCGCCACCATCGCACCATCAAAGTGATGGCCGCCCGTCAAGGATGCACCGTACCAGAAGCCGTGCACCGCTATAATGTCACGCCCAAGGACGGGCGTGATATTACCACGGCCCCGATACATGGTGCCTACCGTCAGGCTGGCAGAGACTTGTGCGTGCAGTCACAGGGAAACACAGCTGCTCCTCCTCAGACGGCCGGCCAGCCTGGTGTGTATCAGCCCGGTGATGCGGTGTGGGTCCGAAAACGGGGCGATCGGTGCACCGCCGTGTCAAAGGAGGGCACTGTCACCAAAGTCGTATCCGCTCAGACGATTGAAGTGGATGGAGTCCCATGGCACGTGCGGAACATTCGTCATCGTCTTGCCAACAACAGTGACGACGCAATGGCTGCTTCGACGGATGATGAGCAGGAAGAGGAGATCGCCTGTCCGGTTCCGACCGCCCATGTGCCTGGACAGCTGGCCATTGAGGCGCCGGCGGCGGTGGAGCCGTCAGAGCTGACCCCAGCTGTCGCGCCGACCGAGCAGACCGAGCCGGTCCCTCGAGCAGCAGCTGAGGCGGATGGCGGTGCCGGAACAGAGGAGCGGATCCATACAGTGAAAGTTGTAAAAACAGAAACTGAGGGATTGTCAAACGACCGTGTGAACGAAGGTAGCGCGCCAGCGGAAAGTGTAGATAATATCGATAGTTATAGTGACGTGCTAAGAAGGGGTTTGCGCTGCAGGCGTGCGCCGCAACTCTTCGGCGCTCCCATCCCCCATTAGTTAAACTGTAGTTAGATGTGTTCTTTAGGAACAGGGGGGAATGTGTCTCTCTGTTTGTTCACATAGTTTGTATTCTAGCCTTGTCGCGTAGGG